ATTCTTGTACATGTAGATGCGGAACTTGATGAGGGTGTTGATCCAAAATAGGCGGCCTTGCTCCTTAATCATGCATTGGAACACTTCCTTGCGATCAATGTAATACTGCCAATCTTGGGGGTTGATTGCCCTGGAGAACAGTGGTTCATCTTCTGAGAGGACAATCTCCTTCATTGCCAATCAATGCTTTGCTGAAAGAAGGATAGATGGTTATCATGTGTCCATGTAAAATGTGTCAGTTGAATGTGCCAATGGTAAAGACATGATCATGCTGGCCTCAGGGTAAGAGAGCATTAACAATTTCATCTCATCACTTTGCTCTTCATTTAAGTGATCACTTTCATTTTTTAAACCTTGTGTACTGCCCATCAATTGACAAGTCTAGCATGGCCCAACTTCATTTCAAATCTCAAGAACTTGGGACCATGCAATGCACATGCAGTTAGGCATTATAGGCCCATGATACCATCTCTGCTTTGAAATAATTGATAAGCTTGCACACAACAGAGAATTCTGCAGAGAGGTGAGGAGAGATGATGGCTGGCTGTTCACATGCAAACAACAGCTTTATCTGGAATCACACAGATGATGGCCTACCACAGCTGCATTTAGTGGGGGCAAGTGAAAAATGACATCAACCTGAAGATATAAGTACACAACAATGAAGCCCAATGGCTGTTTCTGCATTATCTAAGTGCCTTGGATGCAATGGAACCAAGGTGGGATCCACATGCACACATGAAAAAGTGTCAAGAGTTAAAAGTCTTCTGCTTTGCTCATGGCACAAGCAGCTGGATATGAATGGAGTCAGTCATTCATGCTCTGACTCAATTGACAGAGAGAACATCAGAGATCAGCAGAACCTGGTAATGAGTCAGCAGGCTTAGAAACTGGATCAGCAAACCCAGAAACTGAATCCATCAAAATATCAACTGGATCAACAAACCAAAAATTTCAAGCAGTAAGCCAGGGGTACAACCATCTCAGCTGGTGTCAAAAGTTCAGACAAGGACAACAAGTGCCTCTAGTGTAGCAAATGTCACACTGACAAACAGAAAGGTCTAAACATACAAGATGGTGCAGGCTACCTGCTTTTAAAAGTACAATAGTCTTGCCAACCAGTGACCTCTACATTATAACATCCAAAAGCATGAGGCCTTTCATATGGAATCTGCAGCTGTCAACAATGTTATCACCCTGCTACGCAACATGGGTATCCAGATGACCCACTGGACACTACAACTCAGATACCCGCCACCATTGGCTGTATGGGCTGTGTCACCTCTGGGAACTACTGTTCTCCATTACTTTGTTCTCCATGGCCAAGTTTTGGTTACACCTAAGCGGAGCTCGGTATTGCCTGCGCAGTGCTTGCACTTCCCAAAACGGACTGTATCAATTGAGAGCATTATGGAAATCCTACAATACTGGTATCAGAAGTTGCAACCGAACTACTGAATACCTTCAGTGCGTTACTTACGCTCTATTTGTCATAAAACGACAATAAATGGCCACCTCCCCACCCGCCAACGAAACCCAGTTTGCAACGAATGACGGACAAATATGTTGCGCGCCGACAGCTGATTGTACCAAGATAGCGACGTCGCAACATTTCCAGCTGATTGAACGATGACGTCACCTCAACAAAAAAGTCTCTTCTGGTGATGGTTCACGCGCGCACGGCCAGCAGCCACGGTAAGTCCATAATGACATTAGGGAGTTTCCCGTCACACGTGTGACCCCGAACACAAACACCAAGACCGAAAAGAACCGGGTGAGACAGAACAGGGCCACGCGGAGACGGGCGGGCCTGAACCGGACCGGATAGGACTAGATGTAACGTCATGAAGCAAAACGGGACCGGACGAGACCCTGCCAGACCAGACCGGGCAGGATCAGACCAGACGGGACCGAATGGAACCGGACGAGGTCTGATTATATCAAATGGGACCCGATGGAAGTGGACAGCACCAGATGGGATCAGACCGCACCGAACGCGATCGCGTGGAACCGAACGGAGCTGAACTGCACCAACAGCACCGGACGTCACCAAAAGGGACCATGCCGAACCTAAACGTTACTGAAATGAACCGGGTGAAACAGAATGCGGCCATAGGGAAGAACCGAGCCAGATCGGACGGAGTTGGACCGGATCGGATGGAACTGGACCGGATGGGGCGGAACTGGACAAGACCGGATGGTATTGACCTGGATCTGACAAAACTGGGCCGGATCAGACGGAACTAAACCGGAGCGAACGGAATTAGACCGGAGCAGGCGGAACTGGACCGCACTGGACGGAACTGGACCGGAGCAGACGGAACTGGACCGCACTGGACGGAACTGGACCGGATCGGACAGAGCTGAACAGGATCGTACGAAACTGGACCGGATCGGGTGGAACTGGACAGGATCGGACGGCACAGGCCCGGATCTGACGGAACCGGAGCGGATCGGGCGTATCTGGATCGGATCATACGGAACTGGACCGGATCGAACGGAACCGGACGAAGCCTCATGAGTCAAGAGAGGACCAGACCAAACTAGACGGAACCGGCTGAGTCCGGACTCGACGAGACCGGATGGCAACGGACGATATACCGGATGAAGGCACTCACGCGATGGGGCGGAACCGGACGAAACCGGATGGAACTGGACGTGACTGGAAACGGCTGGACATGACTTGTGAGACCAGATGGGACCGGATGGGACCAAACAGGACCAGACAGGACCAGACGGAACTAGACGGGACAAGACGGGATCGGGCGACACCGGACACGTTCAGACGGAGGCGGACGGCACATCAATGGACCAGATGGGACCGGACGAGGTCGGGAGGCAACTGACCGGATCGGTAGGAGCCAGACGTGGACGAGCGGAATTGGAATTGAACGACACTGGACGTGGTCGAATGGAGCCGAACGCTACAGAACGGAGTGGGGCGGGGCAAGGTGAAGAGTTATATACACCTGACAGGACCTGATGGAGCAGGTGGAACTAGACGGCAATGGACGGTTCTGCATGGGACTGGGACATGAAGGATCGGATGGAACCGGGCGAGACCTGGGACCAGGCTAGGATGCACGGAGCCCGACGGAACCCGGCAGGATTTCACATGACGAAACGGGCGGGGCGGCAAGGGACGTGAACAATAGGAACAGGGCAGGTCAGGACGGGGCCAGAGAGGGCGGCCTTCGACCCGTCCGATTCCGTCCTGGCGCGTCTGGTTCCGTCCTGGCCCATCTGGTCCCATCCTGGCCCATCTGGTCTCATCCTGGCCCATCTGGTCCCGCCCTGGCCCATCTTGGCCCGTGTGATTTTATCCGGCCTCACCTGGCTCCATCAGGTCCCGTCTAGTATTGCCCGTTCGCGCCCGGTTCCGTCTGGTCCCATTTGGTGCCAACCAGTCCTGCCCAGCAGTTTTCGGTCCGTCCAGTCCCATCCGGTTTCGTCTGGTTTCATGCCATCGCGTTAAATCCCGCGCCACACCGTCCAGCCCCGTCGCGTCTCCTTCGGTCCAGCCTTTTCCAATCGTGCACGATCCGGCCCGGGCTCATTACGTTCCATCCAGCGCCGTCCGGTCCCGTTTGCCCACATCCAGTTTCGAGCAATGATGTTCGGAAGTGTCCGATGTCGCTCAATCCCGCTCGGTCTGGATTGAGCACTTCCAGACCCGTTTGGTTATTGGTCCCATCAGGTCCGTCCGGTGCCATCCAGTTCCGTCTGGTGTCATTACGTTCCACTTGATTCCATTCTATCCTACCTGATTAAGTCCGACCTTGTCCGGCTCCATTAAGCTCCGTTTGGGCCCGTTTATTCATGTCCTGTACCGCCCAGTCCCGTGCAGAAACAATACCAGGTTAGCAGACTTTTGGTTTTATGACGTCACAATAAGCTGCATATTTCTGCGTCCGTTGATGCGAACAGACTGGGTGACGGAGTGTGAGAACGCTACTTTTTTATCATATGGAAAAGAAGGCCCAATGAAGGTGCTACAGGCATTCAACAATGCACTGTGCTTCTGTTCATGCCAACGTTCTAAAGGTTTCATACCAGATTCAATTAATGGGCACCAGTAAGAGAGTGTGAGGCCAACACTGCTGATACCCAAGAGCCCGCAGTTCTCCAACCGGTAAATATCGCCTTGCCCACATTGCGTGCAAATAACATGTCACAGACCAGATCAGATGAATGCTGTACAGCACCAGCCCTCACCATGTAGCTGAATTACCAACTCGGTCGCTGAATACGTACTATTTCTGTTGCTGCACAAGTGTATCAGGTGTACACCATGTACATACTCAGCTTATAGACTACACTATTTGACTGCAGCACAGCACCATTCTTAGCTGAATCACTAACTCAGATGTAGATGCTTCTGTTGGTGCACAACAGTCAAAGGTGCTTATATCAGATACTGGTAAGCCCACTTCACTTTGACGATGCAATAAATGTTGCCTCGCGCTAACCCAAACTATGGCCACGTAGTAAGTCAAGAACTCATCAGAAGCAAGCACTCGTAGCCACTGCCACTGTTCCCGCATCAAAGCCCTGGGACCATGCTCCCTCCACGGCTATTCCTCATTGTCGTACGACTAAAAAGCGCCAACACAGCCCAGATCAGTATTCACGCCGTACCACGCAGCATCACGCGAATGTCTGGACAGTTCGGAGCCACCGCCCGGCAGAGAATCGTGCCCTCTGATTGGATAAAAGAACGCATGCCAGGCACATGTTCCTTCATGTCCCCGCAACTCTATTCGCTTCATCTTTTACAAGGAGAGCTTTGTGGCTGATTCGCTTGGGAATTGGCTTAAGCATTTCAGCTGGGGATCTGATTCGCCAAAATACCTAACTTGTCACTGCATATTAGTATTTGCGAACACCTGAAGCTGAGACGATACTGACGAACAGCATTCGTCTCGTCTTTTGTGATTAATGCTCGTAGGCAAATGTGACGCTGGCGCACCCTGCGTGCAGTTGTAAACCATTGGGTTCTATTAGAGTTTCGGAAGGGTGGGGTGTTTCAAGCACGAACCGATTTATAGGAAGTAGCAGGTAAGCTGGATATTTTCATGATTTTGACGTCGTTAATTGTATATCTATGTCAGACCCCTGTGTGGAAAATTGTTTTATTCTGTGTGAAAGATGCTCTATTTTTGAACTGATCACATGGCACAGTTTTGTGTTGTAGCATCATGGGAGAAAAAGAAGGTGTGAAATGTGCACGCCATTTTAGCAACTGCCTTGGGTGAAAAACTCATTCTCACATGATTTATGTTTTATAATGCAGCCTTTTTGGTGTGTTTAGGCCACTGAGAAGTAGTGTTTGAGTCAAATGTGTATGGTATGCCTTCCAGATTCATTTGTTGCCACCAGTAGTGTGCAAGCTTGCACTGTAACTGTGCTGTGGAGTGTTGCCTTGATACATGCCCAATGACTTGCAAGATGTGGAAACACAGTAGTTGCAACTTCAGCTGTGGGGTTTTCTGTGATGTAAGGAATTAGGCATGTCAAAATGTGTTGTGGTTTCATACATGGTGGCCTGTTGCTTCATCTCTGAATTAACAGTAATTTTTCATGGATTATGACTTACCATTATGCTGCAATGAATACATGTAGTTGTAGCTATTGCAAGACTAAGCATCAGGTAAGCACCACTGGTTGCTGATGTGTGAAAGATGGCAGACTGGTGAACAACATGTGCAGGGCAGGTCTGGTCCCTGCCAAAGTGGGGCAGCTAGCTTAGCCAGTGAGGAAGAAAGAGGAGCAGGATGGTTTCCAAGATTTTCTGTATCCAGCAACTGCTAATGTCATCCACACAGCAATGTTCAGCAATGGTCAAAATTGTACTATCTAACCATCAGCATTTGATATTACATCACTACTCTGCAAAACAGATAGACATTTTGAAAAAGTGCATCAATGTGCACATTTTATGGTGCAAATGAAAAACCCTAATACATAGGAACAACCATGCTGAGTAGTGACCCGTTAAGCATGAGATTGTGTGTGGTTCACCTGTTCAGCACAAGCAAAGGAAGGTGGTGCAAACTGCTTGCACTTACGCCAAATTTGCTTCTGAACATTTCTGTTTCATTGGTGGATAACTGGCTGGAGGTTGTGCAAGCAGCTGCATGCAGGATCAGGCAGGAGGTATATGAGCAATTGAGATAGCTAGGAGGCAGTTGAAACAAATGTTGCGCATTTGGTCTGTAGGGTGTTCTTTCCTTTAGGGATTCTTGTTCCTTAATTTTTCCCACATTGTAGTATGCTTTGTGGTTCTGTCAAGCTCTGAACCAGTGTAATGCTTGCCCTGAGAAGTAAGTGAAATAAGGTGAGCTGCCTCAATGGAGGAGTTCCTTGCCCTAAATTTCCAAAGTTGGCCACAAATTTCAATTCTTTGTCATACTGAAATAGGGATTTTCTGCTCATTCCAGTGACATTAGAGAAAAAGCTCCCAAAATTAGTGGAGGTCTAACAACTATAAGACCAAAAGAGAGATGGTGTTTGCTGGTGACCCCAGACCTAAACCCAAAGGAAAATTGCAACATAAAAAAGAATGAAAAACTGTCATTTTAGTTGAAAAGTTAGGTTCATTGTCAGGGGAAAAATATTGGGAACTTTGTCAAGTCTGCCTAATTTCTTCAATCCTCAAATAATATGTTCGCTAGTATCTGCTGTTTCTGACACACAGGAAGTCCTTCCTGCGCACTGTGAAACTGCTTCTTGGACATTGGACTCCATATCTTTTTTTGAAGTATCTGCATAATGTGATAATCTCTTACCCTTGAATCTTGAATGCCCTATGTGCTGAAGTATGTAACATATTTTGTTGTCTTGCATAGTACATTGATTTTGATATACTAAGCTCCTGTTCTGGTGCAGTGGTTTAGGCCATCTGTGCCTTGGATTTAGATGCTTAAAGGCAACATAGTCCACTGTTTTTGCTCTTGCATGAGCAGCAAGCATATGGTGTTTCTGTCCATGCAGTACATCAGAATAGTTATTTGCCTGTCATTGGCATCAAAAGCTGCACAAAAGTTCAGCACAGCCACTAGATTTGTAAGGTGCAAGACATGCAGAGTTGTGTTCAATCACTCAGATTATTTCATAAATTAAGAGTCAGGTAACATCATAATTTTGGTGATCTTGGAGCAGAGGTTCCCAATTTATATCATTGTGATCACCATACATCCCTCGCCACCATCCTTAATCTTGAGAGAGGCCACTGTGAACAAAAAATTCCACAGTCTTCATGGTCATGCAAATCGTTTCTGTAGAATGGGACTATACTGCCCCCTCCCCCACACCCACCATAGCCTATTTTTGCATGGTTATGGAGGAGGGGAGATAATCCCCACCAGTGACTTCCAAATCCCACTCCCCTTCCCCAGAAAAGTGCAAAATCACTGCCATGAAATGCTATTCTTCAAAGGAAGTGGCACATGAATCTGTATTTATTTTCATATAAACCATTTGGTCAGGCATGATGCTCCTGTGAGATCACATAAAAAGTGGCTTTTCTCATTATATTAAGACAGTCATGTCATTTTCCCATTGCAAAATGCTTTAGAACAGGGCCGACACTGGCCCTGGATCTAGAGAACCTGGCGTCGCCGCGACAGACAACCAAGGCTCTTATTTCATTGGGGAACTGACCATCCTTGACGGACAGTGAGGGAAGTCATTGTCAGCAGAAGTCTTGGTCGCGCGTCGGCATGGTGTAATAACGGGGGCGCGTTCGGCCGGTAGATGATCTCGGAAAATTATCTGGAAGTTCGGATAATTTTCCGGAACAGCGTTCCGGAAAGGTATCCCAAATAATGTTCCGTACCGGAGGAGAATCCCGGAAAATGTCCAGAGCATGATCAATATGGAGAATATGTTTTCGCTATGCATAGCTATGACCGTTGGCTGTAATTGGCGCATGGGAGACGAATCTGGGGGATGGCTTCCGGACCGGCCGAACGCAAATGGAGAATCTCCGTGCATGATTATGGGAGAGATAATTATTCGTTGAGTAATTATGCATCGGCCCAATGCGTCCCTAATGCCAGCTCTCGGCAGCGGCCAGAGTGAACGAAGATGTGACACCAGCTGCACGGTGTATGAGGCGATGTATTGTGTACAAGCTGTCGCCAATTTCAACAACGCTGACCCTTACGTACACCAGTCAGGGACGACGGGGTCCCCCGAGTTAGAGGGGAAAGTGGGGGGGGGGGGAGGGGGGGCAATAACCACGTTTTGGTTACTTCTTTCCAGACAATGCCCACAGGGCTACTGCACCATTTTCAGGAGTTTGGGGGCGGGGGGGTAGCCCTTTACCCCCGACCCGGCTCTCGCACCCCCAGCCGCATGTATCGACGGGATCGGTAAAATACACCTTCCTCCTAACTGCCTTCGATTGCAACACGCTGTAGCCGAAGCCGAAAGAAATTGGGCCGTGTGAGCTGCACAGGGCACTGAAGGCAGAGGCTCATGAAGAATCCGGGTCGCCGGCACCGATCTCCACGAACGTTGTTGGCGTTTGCAGCAGCGCTTTGGTCGCCAACCACCACAAAAGCGTCAGTCACTACTTAATGCTTCGCCGGTGTCAATAAGATTTTATGTCTGTCCGCCCATTAAGGCACCCAATTTTCAAGCTTCGCCCCTCGTGAATGAACGTGGGAGCCTTGAGTTTGGGAGCCTCTGCCTGTTTAAACCCCGTGGAAAGCCCACTGATTTTGAAATGTGCGTGCATTCAGTGGATGGAAAAATGCATTGCAAAGGCCTGTTCACGTGGGCTGCGAGTTGTTTAATCCATAACGTTAGGTTTTGCAATCAGGCTCAGAACGAGTGTGTGTGTGTATGGAAAAATCCTTTGGCGTGCGTCCGGTCTCACGATCTTTGCTAGCCTCTTATGCAGCCCTGAATTAAAACGCGAATGGAAACGAAGACATGAACTGATCGCCCGATTTCTACGCGGCAGCGAAATTAAGTAGCTTAGACCGTGGGATACCTCAGAAGTTAGGCGCACCCAAGAGTTATTGCTCACCAGCGGCTGGCGTGGGATTGGTGTCCTTGCAAAACGTCGCTCTTTGTGCAGACGCTGGCGGCATCACCCGAGCGGAGCAATTCGAGCGCACCGGACACGCATGAGGGAGTGTTTGCATGAGCTTTGCAGCGCCGCTGTGCGCGCGACTCTGTGCCATCTGGCTCTGCACCGTCTAACCGTAGGCTGCTCTCGATGAGTCAGACCAGCGCTGTGCTGGGACGGGATCGCTCGCGCCTGTCGCACAGATTGGCGTGGGTCTCCGAAGCTCGCGGAACCGAGCAACGTGAATGGTGTGTGTGTGTGTGGGGAGGGGGGGGGGGGGTATGCGTCATGCTGGGGTGCCGTGCTGTCGTAGTTGTACTCCACCCTCATTCAGCTGTTTTTGTGCACCCCTGCGATGGAATCATGGGTGAAGCTTGTGCTGCTTAAGAAAATCCCCTGGGGTAGATCTGCGATTGCTCGCTGCTGGTTACATACAGAGACAGTATTTGTGGCTGTGGTCCTTAAATATGTATCAGCTGTTTTAGATAAAGATGGTAATGTTCGTATCCTCCACGCGATCCCTAACAAATCAGGCATCTGATCAGCGAGGTGAAGTCTGCACGAGTGGATAGCGAAGTGTGTTCTCAGTGCTGTATACCTGACAGCCGTTTGACTTTCCTGCCCAGCTCTGGGTCCGCTCCCGTACCCTCTTGTTGGTACTGCCTCCCGCGCACAGTCGGCGTCGGACTGACCTGCCCCCTGCCCCCTCCCTTCCGCCAGAGAGCAGCTGGGGCTGCGCCGCCGTCGCCGCCGCCGCGCCATGGACGCCACCACACCCGTGCAGCACTTCTCGCTGCGCTGGAACAACTTCCAGTCGACCATCACATCGGCGCTGGCCGGCCTGCGCGACACGCAGGCGTTCGTCGACGTCACCCTCTGGACGGACGGCCAGCAGATCAAGGCGCACCGCAACGTGCTGTCCGCCTGCAGCCCGGTCCTGCTGGAGCTGCTGAAGGTGCGCTGCCGGACGGGCGGCGCCAGTGCCGGGTCGGTCGACAGGTTCCAGTGGCGGCGCGCGGGCCCGGCCCCGGCCCCGGGCTCGGCGCGGGCCCTTCCCGCTAGCTCGGGAAACTAGTGCAAGAGCTTGGAGCTGGGCTGCCATTGGGCGATTTTCGGTAGCCACGTTTCTCCTCGGTTTGTCGTTAAGCCCTGTTTTCCATACCAAGCCCTGTCGGCTTTGTTGTGCTGTAGTCCGCGCTATGCCCCGTCCAAGGTTGCTAGAGTAAAGCCCCGTCTCTTGTGCCTGCCGGTCAGTTTACCCCGTTGTCACGGCCTCGGGTGCGGCGACTCGCCTCGCTGTTGCCATGACAACGGCCGCTATGCCAGCCGGTCCGCTGACTGAGGGCCCGCGCCACCCGCCGGCGGGGCCACCCGATCCTACGCGCCACGTGAAGTGTCTATCTTGCCGCCACGTGCAGCTACATCGCCATAATGATGCCTGCCGCATGTCCGCGTGACATGGCCTAGAACAGCGACGTTACCTGAATGTTGGGCGAGAAGAACTCTGCAAAGCAGCGGGGTAGTATACTCCGATTTCCGTTCACTAAGATGCATCATGATGTGACCGCCTTTGTCTCAATCTCAATAATCGCACCTTCATCATCATCGTCATCACCATCGTCATCACGTTCACCCTCACCGTGCTCGGCAGGACAACCCGTGCGCGCACCCGATCATCATCCTGCGGGACGTGACGCCGGCCGACCTCACGGCCATAGTCACCTACATGTACCAAGGCGAGGTGAACGTGGCGCCGGAGTCGCTGCGCACCTTCCTGCACACGGCCCAGCTGCTCAAGGTCAAGGGACTGGCCGACACTGGCATACAGCAGGAGGTGAGCGCCGGAGATGTCGGGCGGCCGGGCCGCAGCAGGAGGCAGGCGCTGGGCAGCCAGGGGTTCGCAGAATCAGTTGGAGGAGAGGGAGGGGAATTCGTCACGGGCAGCTGTAGCTTTTGTGCTCCCCTCGTGCTCAGGGCACTCCATTGTGTCATAAGATAAATTAACCTCCGTAGATTTTGTTGTTTGTTTGTGTATGTTTAAGTGTTTCAAAGGCGTGGTGTGTGATGGACCGACTCTTTGTGAAGTTGGGACGCCCGAGCTATACAGAGTGAATGGGGGGGGGGGGGGGGGGTACAACCAGCGCAACCAACTGAGTCCGACTTCACGCTGCTGACCATGCGGTGTGCCAAACTTCTGCGATGATATTAGTCACCTCGTCCCCCCCCCCCCCACACACACACATCTTCAAACGACGCCTTTGTCCTAAACGCCCTTGGTAGCTACGAGGAGACGTACGAGGAGACTAGGGACCTCGCGGACAGGGAAACCCTGGTTTGCGGTACCGCGAACTCAAGCGGGACGAAAGCCGGGGAGGCCAGGCGGCCGCCGGAAGGAGCCGAGATAGTGGGCACGGCCAGCTCCCGCAGCGCGCCCTCTTCCCAGATTACACGTGCTTGCTGGCGTCTCAGAAAATGGCCAGTCGCGCTTTGAGGGCACACTCTTGGTTGATACGCGAAGGATGCTACATTGTGCGGGACGATGTGTGTGACACGCAGGGGTTGGTGGTCATGCCGTATGCCATCCCGCGACACTGCTATACGTAACCCTGAAGCATTGCCGCGAGTTCCCGGCGATGCCGAACGGGTCAAACACCACGCGTCACGCTGGGCAAGGCTCCAGTGTGGTCGAGTCGATTATATTATAAAGTCTCCATCCCATCACGTCGGCGCCTTCCCACCTGAGCGTCACCTCTCAGCCAGGGACGCCAGGTGGCGTTGAGGTGTCGGCGTGCGGTGGGGACGAGCGGGGCCGGCCGTTCTTGGCCAGGCGCGAGACACGAGCGGCAACGCCGCTGTCTCCGCTCGAAACCGCGGACGGGGAGCCGCCGCCGGCGCCGCTGCGGGGACGCCGCGCGGCCCTCCCCCACGCACGGACGTCAGTCGTGAGTCACCCGAGCGTCTGTCGCGGGCCCGACCTGCCGGCCGATAGTCGCTCACCAGGCGACGTGCTCTCCGGAGCTCCGCTGGCTTCCCAAAGGAAGCGGAAGAGGGGTGCCATGTCGGCCGTTGGGTGATTGGGCTCCTCGCTCCTGTGTGGCGAGTCGGCGGCACAGTCACAAAGACCCCGGCTTGCTCGTCGCCGCCCTGTGTCTGGGCTCTAGCAAGTGTTCGGGCCAAGTCTGTCAGGGATAGTCAAACTGCACTCGATGTGCGCACTTTGCGGATAGGTATGCGCTGTTTTGACCAGCTCGTCGCCAGTCTTAGCCGATGGCGTACCGAGCGGAAGTCGTCGAGGAGTGCTGCCGTCACCGCTGTTTCGTTTCCCGGACGATGAGCGCTGCCGGGTTGGGGCGGGGCTATAGTTTGCGGAATGGTTAGGGTCGCGCCCTTCCCCCGCCCCTCCCCCCCCCCCCCCCCCGTGCATTTCGGGATAAATCTCCACCACTGGCAGACGCACCGTGCCCGGCTTCCTCTGGAGTTTGCTGGCGCTGACACACGCAGCATTCACACCTGCCGACGAGCAAGCCGACAGTCGGTATCGGCAGTGGCTCGTGACCGCGCCGCGCCTCGCCGCGGCGCTGACCCCGTACGCCGTGTCTCAGCCGCGGTGGTGACCCCGCGCGCCGCTTCTCGCCGCCAGGCTGACGCCTGCGTGTACGACTCGCCGGTGTCGGCCGGCAGCGAGTCGCCGCGGCCGGTGTCGCCGCCGAAGCGGCGCCGTCCGCTGCCGCCCGAGCCGGCGCCGGCGCCGCCACTTCCGCCGCCGCCGCCACCTCCGCCGTCGGCGCCACCGCCGCTGAACGGGCTGGCGAGCGGCCCGGCCACGCCCGAGCCGGCGCCCGAGGCCGAGGACGCGGCGCTCGCCGGCCAGGACCTGATGGTCTCCGTCGAGGAGATGGAGAACGGCGAGATCGGCATGGGTGAGTACGCGCGGAGATCGGCTGGGTCATGACGTGTGGGTAACGGGGTCGTGTGCCAAACCCGACGAAATGGAACGACGGAGGCGGTTAGAAGATCGGTCCCGTTTTGGAACTTGTCCTTCGGCAGGGCAAGATTTATGCTGGGATAGGAGAAGAAATAGTGTTTTTTTCTCCGTCGCATCACCAGTTTAATTTTTTGCGTTAAGTGCTGTCCTAAATGGAAAGAAGTGCTTTTGGAACGCGTCCTATCGTTGTTTCCGCGGTTTTATGTAGCTATATTATGTTATTTTTAGCTATGGTGTTATGATATATATATATATATATATATATATATATATATATATATGCTATTGTAGTTACATATCTAGTTTAAGTATCTTGTGTTATTATTAAGTACGAAGCATAATCACGGTTATACAACACGCAAAGATGACATTTACTCTCAATTTGCGTTGGCAGTAAATCTCTCCAAAGTCACGCATCTCGCTGCATGTTACTTTGAATTGGGGAATGACATGCCACAGCGATGCGAAATTTTGCCACTGATCGCGTGCCAGTCCGATATAGTACATGCTGCCGGTTTGCACCGGGACAGTGGCGATTTGGGTGAAGAAACGTTTCCATGGACAAAATGGTATCACTCCCCGACGAGTGATGCCTCGTTGTCGCAAAGGAGATCGCCCACAGTCTGCCTCGGATAAATATTTGGATTCTGTATTCCAAATCTTCATTGAATGGCAAGAATTACATTGTATAATTGCGCGATAATCGTTGCTTATTCAGCTGCGTTACATGTCATTTGAGTGTTTTCCTTTTTACTGTATCTAGGCACGCAGCCATGTCAGGTTTTTGGGACGACCGATGCGCGACCGCTCCCTGTATTTTACCGTGCTCTGTGCGTGGTGGAGCGTTCCGTTGATATTCAGCGGGTCGTTTTCAGTGTATTCATGACCTGACTCACCAAGCTTGGCTTTCAGCTGTATTGCATCAGTGCGTACCACCTGTACGACAGGGCTCGAGCAAAATCCTACACCAAAAACCAGGCGTACAAACCAAAAAGGGCTGGTTTGCATCGTCTTTAGGGCCAGCATGTGCTAATGCCGCTGCGGCGTGGCCACGGTGTCCCATGGCGCGGACGGTGTGAGACAGGGAACCAGTGTTTGAAGTGGGCACAGTGATCTCTCGGCGCATATCTTTGCGCCACGTGCTAGTGCTTTGCCGGTGCATCACTGCCAGTACCCGTCACCTGACTGATCTGTGTGCGTCCCAGACGTCCTCACGGCTGCTCCGGGCATCGACCCGGCGTCCAGCATGCACTCGCCAGGTGAGCTGGCGCGGCCAGGGGTGCCGCGGGCGGGCCGTGACGGAGCGGGACGTCAGGATGTTGGAGCTGTCCGGCTGCTGCCGATGGAGAACTGTGGCTGCCGCAGGTGGTGCGCGGCCGCGACCGTGCTGTCAGGATTCGGGACAGATTCTTGCTGTGTCAAATGAAGTCGTCTGATTTGTGAGGAGCCTCTGCTCGCGCGTAGTGGCATTCCCTGTCAGCATTCTGAATAGCGGGATCTCATGATGTCGCTTTTTGGGAAGAGTGTAATCAGTTGGGGACGACTCTCTTTGCTCATGATTTGCCTTTTCGTTCCGGAAATGCGTTAAAAGAACCTTTGCACTGAGCTGCTCCATTTGTTGCTCGCGTGTATACCGTGAATGAAATGTTGTGCACCCTTTCAGGTCGCGTGCCTGCAGCTAAAACGTGCGCCGCGCTTTCGAACGAGCCGGCGCGTCTCGCTCGCTTTTGCCGCCGGCTGAGTCGGCGCCCACCGGCCTTTTGCTAAGGCTGGCCTTTTGACGCCCTTTGTCGTTACAGTGCGCCGGTCGCGGTGGTGCGAGTCCTGCGCCAAGATGATCGTGCGCGACTTCGCGCGCCACAAGCGCGAGGTTCACGGCGAGGCCAAGCCGCTGCCGTGCGACCTGTGCGGCTCCGTGTTCAAGTACAAACGCTCGCTGCAGGTGCACGTGAAGCGCAAGCACGATATCTCGTGGGACAACTACCGCCAGGTGGTGGACGGGCCGCCGCCGCCGCCGGCCGAGCCGCAGGACCTAAGCCGGCGTCGCGGCGGCGGCTCGCCCGAGGCGGGCCGCTTCCGCGACGACGGCGCCACCTAGCGCCGCGAGCGCCGCCGCCGCGGCCGCGGCCGCCGCGCGCACAAGCACTCGCCTCCGCCTCAGTGCCAATAACTGCTAAGTCATGGGCCCCGCCGCCGTGCGATGTTCGGACGGCCGGTCCGGGCGTGCGCGACGCGCCCGGCGACGTTCGGGGATGGGGGGCGATGGCGGCGCGCCCCCGGACCGGACAGACTGCGCACACGCGCCGACCGCGCAGGCCGTGTGCTCCGTTTGGATTGGGTTAGTCGCTTGCCGCCGCGGACGGTGCCTGTGTTTACTCTGGGATGCGCCGCGCGGCGACGGGCGGTGAGCTGACCGAGGGCTCCGCGACGCCGCCGGAGGTCATCGTTTCGTTTTGGGGATGCGTTGTGATGCGTTCTGCAGTTACCCTTGCGTGCGTCGCCCGCGTATATCAGCCTGCCGCCGTGGAGCGGTGTCAGTGTGCATATATCCGTGCATGTGTTTTGTACTCGAAGCGATGCGGCCGTGGAAGGGCCGTGTTTGCAGGCGAGCTTTTCGGCGGCGGCCGGTGGGGCCAATGTGCACACGAGCGGCCCGCCCAACCCAGGGAACCTTCAGTCACCCGCGGCGTTCAGCCACCCCGCTGCGCCGACGCTACGCGCTGTGGCCACGTTTAGTCAGCGGGCGGCCGCGCGCGCCATCTGGTGGTTGGTCGGAGGTCTCTCAGTTTGATCAGTGGCCGCCAGGGGCGCTGGGCGCGCAGTGCGCTCCGGCGCTCGTGGCCGGTGCCCAGCGCAATTCCCAGTTGTGATTGAGTTGCCATTTCTTTCTGCGGAGACATTCCATTTACGATGTGATCACGTGACTAGTCCCTGTCTGCCGTCGGCTGCCGGCCCGGGCGGCTCCGGCGCCGGACCGGCACCCACCGAACCACATCAGGAATGGCTGGTACGAAATATCATTATCCAACGGACTCGCCGTGTTTTTGCGGGCCGGGCTGGCCTGCCGGGAGGGCAATCGCAACAGAGGTGTGGATTTTCGCCCCCCCCCCCCCCTCCCCCGCAACAGATGTGTGGATTTTCCAACAGAGGTGTGGATTTTCCTTGTGCTTGCGGGGGGGGGGGGGCGAGGCTGGAACTTCGCCCCCTCCCCGCCCTCCCGGACTTCATGTTCAGTTCTGCCGCGGTGTCGGATTAGCTCTGAGACATGTACGCCTGCTTGTACGCACACATGCTCCCACAAAAATACCTGAGCATGCTGTTGACCCGCCTGCGATGTAGTGCGTGCCGGATTACGCGTACATGCTTCAAACGCGCTCTAAATAGGCGTGGCGCGGCCCTTCCGGGTTATTCAGAGCATTCGAGAAAGGTTACTGTCCGCGATGCTTTAAGGCTTTCACAAGGCGCCTCAAATCCTGGCTGGTGGGGATGGTGATATACGTATACAAAACAAGTGCTTGCATCGCAGACGCATGTTGAAGCACGTGTTTGTTTTCGTAGTATCTTTGCTGAGTAAACTCACCACGCAAATTAATAAGGCACCGAGCACGCTCATTAAACTGTGAACAGGCGAAGTCGCCGCTGACCAACCAGGGTTCAGGTCTGCGCTGTCTGTTACGTTGACTTCCACCACTGCGAGAGTCTGCGTTTTTCTACTGGATAAACATTACGTCTCATCAGATACGTGGTCAGTGTTTCTGCGTTGCTGACTTCAACAAATGTGCTCATAGAACAAAAAGCACCGACGTACCCCGAGTACCCGGTTCAGCGTCGCCTCTTAAGCGTGCGCGTCGGCGACGCGTAGCCAACAGCCCAGCGCCGGCCCTGGCTCTGGCTCTGGCTCCAGCACCAACTCCAGCTCCCGCCTCTGCTCCTGCTCCAGGGTGCGTGATGTATCACGCGGGGTTTACACGCCGTGGTCGCGCGCTCAGGCCGTCTGGCATGCATCACGGACGAGGCCAGTGAGGAAAGCAGGATTGACCTTGAGGCGCTGTCACTGCGGCGGCCGCGCTCACGTCGGCCTGTAAGCGGCGCTGTTCGGCCGGCCGCTGCACCCCACGACACCGCACAAGACGTGAAGCCCACGCCGCTGGCCGGGGCCGGGCTGCGGCAGGTCTCGGCAAATGGTGGAGCAGAACGACGTCGGTTCAGCTCCTCTCTCCACCGCCCGTGCCTGCAGACCTGCCGCGGACTGAAGCTGCACATCTCGAACGGCTTCGGTCGGCGCCGGCGCTGCCCTGCACACTAGCAGCTGCCTCCTGACGTTGCTGCAGACGGTGCCGCTCTGCTCGTCTCCTCGGAACCCCCGTCACCAGTGCCCTCGCCGGGCTGCCGACCGCGATCCGTAGCGCCGCTCGATGCGGCGCTCGCAGCCGGGCCAGCGGGCGGCCCGGGGGCCAGCTGCTCGTTTGTAGGTGTTTGGTCCCGCACCCAGCCGTGCGGGGAACGAAGGCACGCGCTCGCCGGGTGCTTCTTCCCCGAAAGCCCAGATTAAAGCGCTACTCCACGGAAGAAGTGGAAACTACGGCTTCTTCCACATCTCGGTGTGGCTAGGTTGAAATGGAAACGTTTGTCTTTCAACCGCCACTCCGTCGCGGTGGCTCAGTTGGTTAGGGCGCATGCGTTCCGATTCGCCCAACCGTGATGGGGTGAGTTCGAGTCGCTTTAGGCGCTCGCTATTTGTCCGTGACAGCCATGGCCTGCGGCCGGTGGCAGCGACCGCGCTGAACGTCAGGTGACGTTAGAGGGCAGGACGGACCGTACTGAGCATTGCGGCACGCTGAGCTTTCGCCACCAAATTCTGACGTTGACAAGGAATTGCGCGATCGGGAGGTAGGTGTCAGGGCTCACACAACAAGCACTGCTTGACGTGAGGTCAGTGCCCAGAAATCTATGTATCCAAAAGGTTCGGGTTAAATCTTTAAAAAAGCGGTGGACTGGCAAAATCATTGCTACCAATGAAAGTTGGCAGCTTTTCCGCCGGTCTCATTGTTTCCACCACCACGGCTTAACTGTGAAAGGATATTTTTCATTGTCGTAGCAGGCCGCGGGCTGAAATTCCCGATTTTTTCACACGAATAGAAAAACTATTTATAACCACTACCTCATGTAAGGCCTAGAGCGTCCTACTTGCTAAGCTTGCATCCTATTATTCCGCCGACTTATAGCAAGCCGGATTGTTCAGAGCACATTACGAAACATGACAACGTAGCCGGCCAGAGTCCCATCCGCCAGCCGTCGCTGCCAGCCGCTTGTTGTCCTCATTAACAAGCGGGCCATATCCGTGGGTATTTTGTTGGGGGGCCTTTCACCATAAGGGGCCCTTTCTCAACCCTGCCCAGCTGCCCCAAAGTTCTGGCTGCGCCCCAGATCGTCGCGAGGCTGACTATCACACCGGCAGTTAAAAATATGTCACGCTCCGGTCGTTCACGTGCTGTTTTAGTCTGTTAAGGCCTTTCGGGCCACTAAGGGGCGCCCCTGGCATTGAGATGCCACTTGCCAGTGACGTTCTCCCCTGACCACCCGGGGGCTCATTGGCCGTCCAGGACCCCACCGGTCAGCAATGGGTACCCCTGATTGTTCAGGGGTCCATCTGGGCCACCTAAGTGCTCATCGGCCTACTGAGGCCAAGTGTTGTGTAAATGCTGTGCTAAGTGTTGTGGGCTCATTGGACGTTCAGCTGCCCATCCGGTCGCCAAAGCCATTTGGGAGTATCCTTACGGCCATATGGACACTCAGGTTCGTGCTGGCTGCACAGGGGCCTTTTGGCAGCCCAAAGACCCTCCTACCGTACAAAAGCCCCGGCTGCTCGTAGACCCCGGGTCGCACCAGGTAAGGGGCACGATAAATATGCCTCCTCATCCCTACCCCCAACCCCACCCCGTAGGTCCCAAGGGGTCGAAGGTTTCTTGGGAACGAAGGCAATGGGCCCGATTCAGGTGCTCGAAGAGCTCCACGGGCTGGCTGGAAGTAATATGGAAGAATCACGGTCCCGCGGGTAGGGGCCCTCGAAGACCACTTAGAGGGCCTCCTGCATCCATGCTGCGGGACAATTTAAAAACCCCATGTTGGCCTGAGCCCCCAAATGCCACATAGTCGGCCCCTCTTCGGCCAGGGGGTCCACCATCCAAGCAGAGACAAGAGAGACAGAGACAGAGACAAGGGCTGGAGACCGTGAATGCCAGGTATAAGACCTTAAGCATTGGTCGGGATTCCTGAGATGATGGAGGCTCTGTGCCAGCAAGGAGACTGTGCCTGACAGGGGGTCCCATGTTTTCAAGGGTCTCTAAGTCGGCGAAGGGCCTAATTCCTGAACGGAGATAGGGACGCAGCCCCGAATGTTAGAGGGCACCTTTCGTTGGTCGGATGCCTTTGACAACGAAGGGAGATACTAAATAGGCCACAGTGAATCAATGGAAGGGCCCGTGCCGGCGTGTCACATCATTAGTGCTGCGCAATAGCGCAGGCAAGGAGAGCACAGGGTACAGGTGCCTCCCCTCCCTTAGATTCCGAGGGGCCCAAGGGCCCTCGTGACCTACGATCAAGGGCCTGATTTCATGGTCCGGGGGGCCCGAAGGGCCCACCGGAGGCTGTTATTCAGGGGTCCGGCCCGCAGGGCTGAGCACTTCAATGCCATCCGGAGGGTCCTGCGCGTGGATCGGGGGCCGCTCAGTGGCTAAAGATCTATATGTCGGTCAAACATTACCAATTACGCACAGTCGGCCCCGTGTCGGCATGGGCCTTAGGGCCCATTCCCCATGCAGAGACAAAGCAGGAGGCGGCGATTTGCATTGCTCGGGATCCCAGCGTCTGTCAGGGGCCCACAGCGCCTATCAGGGGGCCCTGTATTGGTAAGCGGCGGAGCCGGCCAGAAGCAGTGTTCGAGGGCGCTCGAAGAGCCTAGGGGCCCCACCGGGGCCGACAATTAAGGGCCCGATTGGGGGGGGGGGGGGCTAAAGGGTACGAGGTGCCGACCGGGTCTTGTTCGAGGTCTCCAGCCTGCAGGGACGGACTCTCAAATGACAGTCAGAGGGCCCTCTGTGCCGATCGGGCACCCCTGAGTCAATATGGCTTATTTGTCGGTCAGGCACCACCAGCACCGCTCAGTTAGCTCTGTGTCGATATGGGCCTAACGGTCCACTTTGCAATCAGTTACAAAGCCGGGGACAGCAATTTATACTGGTCGGGACCCCTGTATCGGTCAGCGGCCCGCAGTGCCTAACAGAAGGTCCTGTGCTCGCAAGGGGCCCCGACCAAGACCGGGGCAGAGTTCGATGAGGCCCGATGAGGGGCCCGGGCGGCCCAGCGGAACCAACGATCAAAGGCTCAATTGAAGGGCATAAGGGCCCCAAAGGCTGGCTGTAAATCAGATACAGAATCGCGGCCCGTAGGACCGTGACCTTAAATATCAGTGGGAGGCCCTCTTGCACCGTTTGAGGACCCCTAAGGCAATGCGGGTATCTCGTCGTCCAGAGACGACGAACACCGAACAGTTGGATCCTGGTCAGTCTGAGTCCTGGGGGCCATTTCCCAAGCAGGAGCTAGGCGGGGGCCACGACTTCGTCGGTCTTGGTCCGTGAAACAGTGGCTGGGGCCCTTGCGTTGGTCACGGGCCCACAGTGCCCAACAGGGAGTCATGTCAGCCAGTGGCCCCGAGGCTGTCACAGTCGGTCGGTTGACGTACTCACTCATAGCTACTTCGAGCCCCGTGGTTTGAAACTCCCCGCTGGACAGTAAGGGGACCTCGGAACGACCCAGGGGCTACTTGACCGCTCAGGGGTCGCGTTGAGTCCTTAGAGTTATTTGTGTAGCCAAGGTCGCACCCGGGCCGTTTAACACGAGGTCGGGTCTGGGTCAAATTAACCCCCGGAAGGTTTTTCGGCATGATTTCCCAAATGGCTCGTCGCAGCCACACCAACCTTTGCATAGCTGCAAAGAAATGAATAGCAGATCTTTTGATGTAAAATTTAGGTGCACCTTGTAAGGTCGCTGGCTTATGGCAGGCCAAAGTCCGATTAAATTGGTTTATAATCGGAATAAATTACATTGACCTACGGTGGCGTATAAAGGTCAGACGGAGGTCAAAGGCCAAAACAAACCGGTTTTATTACTGGAGAGCTTGCTGTATGAGCTGTTTCTGGTGCTCATTTTGAATTCATTTATAATAGGAACGGCAACAGATATGATCTATGGGCTTCTTAGAAATCAGAGCAGGCTGCTGACCCATAATGACCCGAGTCAGCATTTTATTTTTAGGAACATACTGCCGAGCGTAATCCCTGACGCTTATTCGAATGACAAGATAGAAGCAATTTCGTAGGCTTTTGGTCACCTTGACTTTCTTAGGGTCAAAAAGGTCATTTAACTCAAGTGAAAACCAGCAATCTTTAGCCTAGAACAAGTATCTAGGTTCGAGGTGGTCGCATGCGGAGGTCTGGGTCTCTCTGGTGAACAATCTTAAGTTTTACCTTGTTTGACCTTGTTTGACGCCAAGTTTATGACCTAGGAAAACGACCTAGGAATTTGGATGCGATTGAGGTCACATAATCGCACTTCCACCCTAGAACTTGGCGTGTCTTGCCTTTTTATTTTTTGATATCTCAGGAGGTCAAATTGACCTCACTCCCACACCCAAGCGAAGGAGCCGGCCACTCGAGCGCGTGTCAAAGGGAGAGAACACTTTATTATTCCTGTATATCATGCACCTGAAAAAGTGGAAAAGGGCTGCTTTTGGGGGGGAGGGAGGGAGGGGCGCTTGTCCTGTGGTGCATCTTTAGTCCTGACCAGAGACCTACGAAGCACGTAGAGATAGGGACTGTCGTTACAAGCAAGGCTGTGGCCATGTAAGGCATATTACAATTATACGCTCTCACAGGCGTGCCGATTGCGAAGACGCGCTTATGTTCCCAAATCGGCCTGAACATACATGTGCCTAGTTCCACCAAAAGATACCATACCTTAAGAGATCCTTCAACAAAATTTGAAAAAGCACCCGAATCCCAGAGGATTCTTCGACGAAGTTTCAATAAAAATCCAAGACCCCAGAAGGCTCTTCGACAGTTTTTTCCAGGAAGACCTGGATCCAAGAAGACGGGACCAGACCGGGCCCGTCTGGTCCCGGTGGATCCCATCCTGGTCCCATCCGGTTCCATCCCATTCAGTCCTGTTCCTATTGGTTACATTCCTTGCCGTCCGATCCAACTCATCACGCCACGTTCTGTCTTGTCCTGTCTGGTCCTGTTTGGTTCT